AGAAGATCAGGAAAAAACTTCCTTTTTTAATGAGCTGAATAGAGAAATGTACAGTCAACTTAGAACACAGAGATATTTTTTTTCTTTCAGATGTAAAGATTCAGTGGCAAATTTGAGCATGCGCCTCCAATATTATCTGAGATTGCCTGGGTGGCCAAGATTGGCAAGAAAAGCTCCATAAATGCCCTACTGCTGAGGAAAGGGCTTATCCAATGTACACAGCTGAAGCACAGCAACTACTGCTCTTCATTAACTGTACATTTTGCACCTGCAGATAGCAAACAGTCTGAATCATTCATTACCATTATCATGAACTGAAACAACATAGTGAAAGCTTATGGCCTCACATGCCATAATACATAGACCAAATAATGTAGCCATTATTTCCACAAGGCAGCCATTAATAATGGCTTTGTTATATATTGATCTGTTTCAGATAGACATGGATAGATTTATATATATTGCATGCTAAAACAGTGGCGGGGCTTTAGAAATCATGGTTGTCTTTGCTTCCATCAGCACACAATAGTACCACATCTCATAGTTTTTTCCTATTTCTACCTTGAATCTTTCCTCTTTTGCTGCTGTCGAGCTAACTCAGAGGCAAACCACCAGCAAACCCCATCACACCCAGTGCTCTCCTACATAGGAAGAGGAGGAAGGGGAAAAAAAGAAAGAAAGAAAGAAAGAAAGAAAGAAATCAAACTGTCCCTTTAAAATAACAAGCATTTAAACTGCTTGTCAGTCATCTTCCTGACAAGGCCACTTGAATGTATTCAGGAATATTTGCATAAATGCTCACAGCGAGTTCACTGTGGCAGCTAGCACTAATGGTACATAAAGTAATTTAGTCACTTTTCTTAGGCATCCTGTCAGGGTGATAAGCACCCCCTTCTTTGCCTTGTTGCATATTAGATCATTAGATAATAAAGTGTTAGAGCATGCAAACTGACAGGGTCTCAGGGACTATCATTTTTCGAGGGCACTGCATTCTGCCAGTGAGGAAAAATAATACAGAAAGTGATGCTGCAATTGTCTTTACATTCTTGTAGAGTCATTGAAAGACTTGGGGGAAAAAGAATTTTTACTTTGTGGTGATAAGAGAGTTTTAACCGGAAACTTTGCAGACATCTGCAGTGGTGGACTTCATGCTGGTTAACTTGAAAAGGGTTATTGCAAACCCTGTCAGAATTGCCCCTTCCATAAGCTAGTCACTTAAATTGCACTGGAAAGGTTTTCCCTTTAAAATTGACACCCTGGAACGAACTACAAACTGAAACATATTCTAATGGTTGGGGCCTGCTGGCTCTTCTCTATACATCTTACTATATGTGCACAATTTATAAAGGTCAACCACACCAGTCTTCTGGTTTACCATAAACATAAAACAAGTGAGGATCCAACTATTTGTGAATGTAAAAGTGATAATTACAAAAACCACAAGATTGCTGTGGCTTACCCTATTTATACCACACAGAGATGTATGAAATAATTGGCCTGTGCCAGCTATTAATCTTCAAAGATACAGAGACATGCTAGAAAAAGGAACTTTACTGGCTGGCAAGCAAGATATAAATAGAGATGTGTCGGATGTCCCAAAAATAATCCAGGCTACCTGCTAATGAAATGGTAAGAACCCAAATGTGGAGATACCAGGCCCCTGAGTGGCTCAGCAAGTAAAGCTTCCTTTCTAGACTTTTGGCATCCAAAGTCTTTTTTTGGTGTCACGTAAACTGCAACTCCATAGTTCAGAGCAGTATGTCCCACTGCAGCTTTGTGAGGAAAAATAAGCTGGGTATCACCAACCAAAGCAGGCAGCCAGCACATTTTCATACGTTCTCTCTCCCCTGTCCCAGACTTTGTGCTCTCAAAGTCAGGCATTCATCACTTTTGTGATCAGACAGTTGATTTAAAGAGTCAAATATCTAGAAAAGTACACATTTGGTCAAGGACATACCAGAGTTAAACACCAGCATTTCAAAACCTACAATCAGAAGTTGCTCAGCAAAGCAGCAAACCAGAGACAAACAAGCCACGACTCTGGTAGTTTCCAGTTTACCATTTACAAACTCTGTTCAGGGCAATCTGCCCTCCCCTCAGGGAGGCAGGAAACTGGAAAGAGCAAAGACAAACAAGCTGTCTCTTCTACTTACACTCGAAGATATTATTCAAGATAAAAATTGCAAAACCGAGGATAAGAATACACTTAGTGACTCAAAGTAAAACTAAAAATTTATTTCAGTGAAGGAAACTCTCATCTGTTCCAACAGGTCTGAAGTTCTTGGTGGTTGCCCAAAATTCAACAACATTAAGCCCAGTTGAGACTTTTCCCACTTTTTCTCATTCAGTTAAGTGTTTTAGACATTCAATAGTGACATTTAAAACACTTACTGGATTTCTTTTCTTTTTTTTTCTTTTTTTGCATCTCTTGGACACAAATATGCATAGAATTCCTGGAGAGTTGGATTGAAGGATTTAGTTTAAAATGAAAGGCTCCACCAAGCCTTTGGGGAAAGTGTAATTTTGTAGGACGGAGGTTGCATTCAAAAGTAAGAATTTATTAGTGGTGGCTTTATGAGGTTGCTTGAGAGGTGCCTGAGAAACTAGATTAGAAAAATCACCTTTCCCGAAATGTACATATGGAGATAGTTTGCAGATGTTGGCTTTTAATAGCTGCACGATATCCAAGTTTGTGTAACTATGCAAGCAGAGTATCGTCTTTTTTCTTTTTCCACCCCCTTCTTTTTTGCCGATAGAATCCTTCAGGTAGACAGGAGAGGGAAGAAGGGAGATGTAAGTGAGGATTTTATGATACCATGCATAGAAACACGAACTTCACAAGTGTGAGAAAGTAAGCATTGTGTTGACCAAACTTATACACTGAGAGGACTGCAAGGGGGAAAAGAGATTGCCACTCTAGTAGGAATAAGTGAAAAATAAGAGGTTTTTGAAAGGCCAGACTTCATGGAAGGATTACAAAGTTGAATGCGGCAAAGTTTCTTTTCCTAATGTTCTGCCTCCTGCTAATTAATAAAGACAGAGTTCGAACATTCTTTGTAAAAATTCAGCACAAATTATGACAGTGGTTTGTTTATTAAATTAGGTTGTTGGCAGGATGAAAAAAAAATTCTATAACATGAATTATAGCTGAAAATGGCTCATAGCCTACATAAAAAGTTAGAGCTAAATAAATACAGATGTAAGTTATGTTTATATAATGAGAAACGCTGCTGAGCTAAGAATTTTAGGTTGGTAAGTGTGAATTACAGACCTGATTCTGCAAACACTTATCAATACCCTCAACTTTACTGACACAAGAAGCCTCATTGATCCCAACAGGACCATATGTGCACATAATCTTAAATATATGCATAAGTACTTGCAGGACTGATGCTCGAAAGCATGAACAGAATAGAAAGCTATTTCCACAGGAATCCACTGAGTAGTAGAAACTCTCACATTTACCCATTTCTTGCTATTAATAATTTCTTTTAACATGTCTAGTGACTGTTTTTCTGAGTGGCATTCACTTTCCTGGAGAAAATTTTATCTGCTTTCTTCAAACTCTGGAAAAATCTATTTAATTATTCATCAGATCCTTGGCAAATATTTGTGGAACAAACCAGCATAAAAGGACCAGTGCCTTCTACATTCAACTTCAATAGAAACCCCCATCTCCTAGAGGGCGCAAGCACCTACTGAATTAGGATTACAAACAGCTTTGAAGACAAAGAAATATTCTTCCAAGCTGGAACAGGGAGAGGAGAGTGAAATGCCCTTTGGTATTAGTCTTTTATTTGTCTGGTTGGGGGGTAGGTTGTGTTGTTTTGTTTTGTTGGGGGGTAGAGAGTTGTGGTTTTTTTGTTTTTTTGTTAAGTTGGTTTTCTTTTTGTGATTTGAGTTTTTTTTTGTGGGGGGGATTTTGGGTTTTTTTTTTGGTTTTGTTTGTTTTTTTGTTTTTTTGTTGGTTTTTTTTTTTTCCCCAGCAGCCGTCATCAACTTTGAGGACAAAGAGCAAGACAAAATGTTAATCAACTCCAGATTTTTCAAAGAGCATTCACACTCAACAACTCCCATTTTAAGCACCTACAGTAAGCACCAGATATTATCTTCCAGGACCAGTTGATCTTATGGAAAAGATTACAGTTTCCCAGGCTGCTTCCAGCCACATTGCCCCCTTCCCACCCTTGCTGGTGCTCCCTATGCTTTCAGAAAAGCCAGCCAAACTGCCTTGCGCCACTTCTCCTTCAACTTTTTCAGCAAAACAAGCTGGACTGGCAAAGAGTTACTGTTGAAACTGTTTAAGAGAGATGAACTTCTTCTGATTGAAGGAGGCTAAAGAGCAATCAGACTATCATCTAGGCTGGCGTGTCTATGGTAGAGAATAGCCTCCAGTACAGAGGAAAGACCAGCAGCTGTGGCACGTATGGAACAAGAACTGTCTCAACTGGCACAGCTGGAGCCAGAAGAGAACATTTGTCCATGGCTTGAGTAAGCATAGCGCCTTCCAAAACGGCCTCTGCTTTCATTTGCAACAATCCAAAGGAACAACTGGATCTCCTAAAGAGTTCTGCAGTCTATAGGAATGAGTAATCCAATCCTGAATTTGGGTACTGAGCACTTCAGCAATAATGTAACATCCATTGCATGCACAGTCAGAAACCAAACCAATTTGGAAAAGGTCAATTTTAGTTGCTGAATAGACACAACTACCCCTCCCCCAAAAAATCACCATGCTTCACTAACACAAGGAACAGATTCTGCACCCATGTTTGCCTACCAGTTTGTCACTTCACTACATTTTGTGCTGACCTACTTGAAAAATTCCAGTTTTGGTCTGGAGAACCATCTTTTTAAAGCAGGGGTCAGTCTCTTTTAGGTATCCCAATCCCAAAGGCATTGATCATAACATGACAACTTGAAACCAGCAGTCAGAGACAGAAACCAAATAAATCTGCATTTAAAGTAGCAATGCCAACCAATGAAAATGATATGCCTACCATGTTCCAGATAAGAAGGCGTACCTTCCGAAGGATCGAGTCTTCGAGCTCTCCGCCCATGCTTGGAATTGTTGTGCACAAACATATTGTCCGACACTGCCAACACATGGCCATCAACATTGACTGTTGTAGACACCACAACCTGCAAGCACAAGAGTAAAACGGAGGAACATTTTGACGTATATGAATGTTTTTTAAGAAGCACAGAGTGTAATAAACTCAGTTAAATAAATAACAGCTGGGAGCTGTAGAAAATTGCATAGCTATTTCAGATAATAACTGGTGCTTATGCTGTACAAATCTAACAAGAGACACTATTGATGAGTGGGTCTTTGGCATCGAAAGCTTTTGATGCAGTTTTAAGTCAAATTGCAGAGTTTGTAGCTGAATGGCAGACAGCGCACCGTTAACTATCATTTTAACAAGAGGATCTTTATTAAGTATTTTTCCCACATGTACAAGGGCAGCTGTGTTTCACCCTAAATTATCCTTCAGTTTCCATGCTGAAGTAGATAGAGCTGTTGACACTGCAAATGAGAATCAATTCAGAATAAAAGAAAACAAAAGTGCATTTTGTGAAGTTGCCATTAGACTTGCCATGTTCCTCCCCAGACAAACCTGCACTCTCACTCCTCAGTACAGTTACCACAGGTTGCTGGACTGGCCCAAATTTCTCCTGAGCTCTATCTCAGTGAGTACACATAGGTGTGTTTGTATATGCACGCACGCTTGACAGTGGGGACTTGATCTGGGGAACACAACCCTATTCATCCAGTGCTAGTATTATTTGTATTCACCAACTTATCTCCATGTCAACAGCTCGGTTTGAGGCAAGGGGAAGGAGGTGGAGGGGCACTACCCTGGAAGCAGATTCCAATGCTTCTGTTCCATGGAGTGGCTCAGGGTGGGAAAGGAGCTGCACTGGAGGGGAGAAAATGGTTATGCATTGGAATCAGAGTTAGGAGAGCCAACTGCTCAGAGGGACCTCTCAGCCTTGAAGCTCAGAAGACACCATCCAAGCGGAAACCCCCGTTCATTTTCAGGGCACCTGAGCCACAAACTGTAGTGGAGGAAACCAGGGGGTGGAGAGGGCGAGATCCAGGCTGAGCCACCAGCTTACCACCCTGGGTCTCCATCCACCATATTTCAGCTGTGCAACATCACAGCCTTGGTCTTCATTAAGCTGCCCTTCCAACACCTTTTTCCACCCCCCAGAAAAGCATCATTTCCAGAGCTTTACTCCACCCAACACTTTGGCCCTCAGCTGGCTGCCAGTTTGCCAGGAGCGTGCGCTGCCTTCAAGAACTTCCACTAAAACAATACGAAGAAATGACCTACACTTCTCCTTACATTAAGCGGGGAAAGGGATTAAAAACTGAAACCCACAGAGATATGTTTATTCATGCGACCTCTTACAACCAAATATAATAATTGTCTGTTAATTGCAGTTTCAGCTCCCACCTCATGCTTCGACATGTGAAACAGCAATCAGCAGCTCCTGTTTAATCCACCTATTATGTTGACTAATTAACTTTGCTCGACAGTTTATTTCTTCCTCCATTATCAGCCCCTGTCAGCCGCAAGCACACTGCCGCAAAGGGGGACCTCAGCCCTTTTGATTGATCACCGATAGATTGACATGCAGATTAATTTAATTAGAATCACCTCACTTGAGAAATGAAAGACAATGGCAAGGGGGCTAATAGATCTGCTCTTATAATGAGGCAAGCCTCCAGAGCTGCGGCAGAGGATTTCTGATTTATTTTGTTGAATTCCCCAGTCGCTCTGAAAGGCTCTTGCTTTAATTGTTCTTGGTTTTGAGAGGCTTTAGCCTCTGAAGAGGTGAAATGCTTTACAAAGATTGGCAAACATTGCTTCAACTCTCTTAGGAAGCTGCTGCCTCTCAAAGTTGGTCAAATGGGGACACTTAAAGGATCGCTTACAACAATTCAATTTCATTACTTGGATTTAAAAATTTTAGACAAAAAAATGTTCACCTATTACTGACCACCTAGAAAATACATAAAAACATAAAGTAAGCAAAGTTGCTAAGCTGGCAGTAGGTAATTCCAAAGTTTTGCCTTAAAAAAGAGAAATACAAAAGAGAATATTGTACATCTAAAGGATCTCAAAACTGTCCATCAGAATGGCATTCCAGGCAATAGATTTTGTATGTGTTTTAAGTGAAAGATATTAAAATACCAAATAAATGATTCAAGAGCTCTTACGGATGGAAATTTGGGGAAGAGAAGGCACCAAACAGTAGGCACAGTAAGTAAGTTCTTCTCAAATCAAACTAGGGGGGAAAAAAATGGCAAAAAAAAAAAAAAAAAAAGCCCTATATATAAAATTCCAAAAGGGATTTCAAAAGTAATTTATTCTTTGCATTCCTGAGGGATAGAATAAAGTTTATGACATTTTCAATAAAATATGATCCTATATAGTAAGTGGCTGAGGGTTTGCGATCTTATTTGTGCACTTGCAACCACTGTCAGTTCTTTGCAACTGGGATTTGGAGCCAAATCCTTAGCTGGCACTGCTTGTCATAGCTCCATGATTTATACCAGTCTCTTATCTTCTTCTAGGAATCTACTAAGTTGCATACAAAAACAGATAATATTGCAACTGATAATAACGGCCACAACCTGAAATACAGCCTCCATTACAAAAAACATATGGGAACATGCATACTTTGCACTGGAACTGATCAATCCTATGCTGAAAGCCAAACTTCTGAACGTTTTGAGAAATGAGGATACTAACAGTTCAAGAACAACAACAGCAAGGCAGATCCCAAACCTCTGAAACGTGTATGTAAGCAGCTGTCTCTATCCGTGTGCCTTGCTAGGGAAGAACTAAATGAAATAATTTGTGAGGTTGCTTTTATGGGACTAAAACTCCATTCAGTTTTTCCCCTTCATGTTTCTGAAATTGTTGATGCAACAGATTTTGAATTACTTAACAGTGCCTCCCTACCTAACCCCTGAACAGAGTTTGATTTACTATGAACAGATCACATTGGTGCAGTTCGTCAGTGTCGTTAGCAGAAGATACTGTAAAAGGAATCCCCAAGAGAAAGTGTTTCCAGTCTGAGGAAATGCATTAAAAAAAAAAAACACCAAAAAACAGTGGTTATTCTTATGTGTCTGAAGAAAAAAAATACTGCACCTGCAAGAAACAGCAAATACTGTTTAATACTTAAAACACAAAATCTCGTTAACACAAGAATACTGAGCATACAGTGCACTAACAAAATATTAATACCTCTAATGATTAATAGGGAAAAAATACAGCTTGAATTTTGTGTGCTATAGTTACATACTTGGACTGCTACAGAGCACTTACATACTTACAAGTTCTACTCATATTTTTTAATCTAAAAAAATACTACACTCTCCTCATCTTGATTTTGAAACGACTGGGACATGTTCAAGTCAAAGCACACGCTAAACCTAATTTGTGGAGAAATCATAAAATTAGGGGGAGGGGAGAGCCAAAGTAGATGTGGAATGGCCACTGAGGCATCCTAAAACACAGACCATAGCAAGAGGGAAAGGCACACTACAGTTTAATAAATGATTAATGAGGTGCTGACACATTAATGTAAGCACAGGGACAACCAGGCCTGCCAAATCTCAAACCTTTCCAAATTTTGTCAACAAAACACAGTTTTAATTTGGGACAGGCAAACACGGAAAACGATTTTGAGCTTTAGCTTCAGCCCTTCATAGATTTTGAATTTAAATCCTGTATCAACACCAGGGGAGACAGGGGTATGAAAGAAACACATTGGTTTATAACTTTGTTCAATGAAGTTGGCACTATCAACGGCATTAACGTATCACGGCTCTGTGAATTATTCTGCCTGCCATTAAATAGTCCAGTTGTGAATGCTTTGGGGCTTAGTTTAAAAAAATATTCTGAGATCAGGAGCCTGTAGATCAAGCTATTTATCCACGTTTAGCACTCAGCTCGTTTATTTGTTATGGTACCTCACCTAATATATCAAAATTAAGCATTGCATGACTCCTCATTTTTAACCACAGCCCATTAAGCTTCACTAACTGATTAAGACATAGCATGTTCCTTGTGCTTTCAATTTTCTCCAGCGTATGTTGAGGGCTCTGATATTTTTGTGATGTCCCCAACATCCAGAGGCAAAGGCAGAAAAAATCTGATTAAGACGATTTCCAGATTTAAAGCACGTCATTAGTGTAAAACCTGTAACTCGTGCATTTGCTGCTCTTCTGAAATCTATGCAGAAACGGCTTGAGCAATGCATCTTTATTTTCATCACCACTTGGTGACCTCTTCCTACAATATCTTCTTTATCCTAATAACTAGAAATTACTCTCAATTTAACAAGACACTTAAAAATGTGCCTAACTTAAAGCACATAAGTACAACATATTCAGTCATTTTGCTCACGTGCATGAGGCCACGTCAGGCACTTAATTACCTTGTTGAATTGGGCCACAGCTCGTACTGCTATTTTCCAGGTTGTTTTTTTTTTTTTTCGCCTTTCCCTTCTCTAGGGATGGAGCCTTGCATGTCCAAATTCCATTATCTGGAATTCATGAAGCATCATCTCTGTCTCTTATGCAAATTTGCAATAGGACACAAGTGGCTTCAATTCAAACATGAGTGGCAGCATCCCATTGAGGCAAACTAGCAGCCTAGGCTGAGGAAGAGGTTGAGGTAACAGCACTGAACAGCAAGGCAATTTCTGAGTGACTTTCAAGGTTTTCATAATAAACGAACGTTCAGGGTTTTATGCAGTGACTCAGTCTGAAAAGTTTTCTCTAAATTATAACTTGACATGTGTCAGTTTGCAAGCAGCTGTGCTAAAACAAGAACAACAAGATAACTGGGGCACTTGGGTTTCATTAATTACAATAACATATGAAACTGTTTAGGTTATATGAATGAGTTTTCATGCTGAAAAACAAAATCCAGGCAGAGTTTACCCATGATACCACCTACTTATTACTACCACTGATTGGGACTCCACAGCCTATCCTACCAAAGCCAACAGCTTATTGTGACAGAGAATGCAAAAACAGACTGAGCATCTGTTCCATGGGGCTTTTAGAATAATAAAGACAAGGTTGGACTAAGGGGAAAATTAAGTGGCGTTGCCAAATGTATTGTGCAATTGGGCTGACGAAACAGAGATGAAGTAATTTTCTTGAGAACAAGCAGGGAGTCTGTACCATAGTTGAACACTCAAGTCCATGCACAGACAGCATTTGGCTTTTCCTGTCTTCACAGAATCACAGAATGGCCAGGGTTGGAAGGGACCTCAAGAATCATGAATCTCCAACCCCAGCCACATGCAGGGCCACCAACCTCCACATTTAATACCAGACCAGGCTGCCCAGGGCCCCATCCAACCTTGCCTTGAACACCTCCAGGGACGGGGCATCCACAGCCTCTCTGGGCAGCTGTTCAAGCATCTCACAACTCTCTCTGTAAAGAACTTTTCTGCTAAAACAGACAGAGCTATTACAACCACTCCAGCACACACTCCTGCTGGCACATGACACTACTGATATGCAGCACCCAGTCATCACGTGCTTGAGCATCTCAGAAATGTAGGGAAATGCATCTCTCTCCAGGCCCATACCTGCTTTTCTAAGCTTATCCCATAGTTCAGGAACACAACATTTGGGATAAAACTTCCAAATTAATTTCTATACGTGTATGAAAATTCACATGCAGTTCTTCTGAACCAACATACACTCTACCTATTCCCTACAATTTCTTACCCCATCTTAGATCACAGTAGAGTCAGACAATTCCCTGCTGCATGAAACAAACCTATTAGGAAGGAAATTTTTCAGTACAAACTGTCCTCACTTGGTACAAAACTCATGCCCCTGGCCTTCACTGTTTCACAACTTCTGTTGTAATGACTCCTAGCAACTCCGGGAGGCAGATAACTGATATCATGCCAAGAAGTGGACAAGCTCTCAGGCAGCTTGACAGTCCAGCATAGTAGGTGGAACAAAGTAAAGGAAGAAAAAATCTTAAATTTTCTGTGAAAAGAGCATGCTGCTATTCAAAAAGAATTTGCAAATCTTTTTGAGACAGACTTTTGAAAGCACTGGGAATATGTCTGTGGCACAGAGGAGCTGATGACAAACCCTCTACTCACTTTACGGGGACCTGGATTTCATTTGGTTTCTGTATAACACCATCTTAAATATCTAGGTGCATCATGTTATCAAGATACTATGTGCATGTGTGGTCCTTTTCATGCCAAGAAATAAAAAGTGAAGACTGGATCCAGTATTCTGACTATTTTAAGAAGTCTACTGCAAAAAGAGTAAGTTCAAGATTAAAAAAGAAAAGCAAACAAAAAAAAATCATCAACAACGCAAGAGCAGCTGCAGTAAAACAAGCTTCAATACCACCCTGTATTACAGTGTAAGCGGTTCACTCTGCTGAAAGTGATTAATTTCTTGAAAATGCTAAGGTCACACTAATTGACACGACCTGTGTAATTAAGCAGTCTCTGTTTACACACAGAAAGCTCAACTGCTGTGAAGCTGGGTTTGTATGACAGAATGTCTTTACAAGTCAAGAGATCAACAACCTTTCCTATGTCCTACCTATTCGCCGACACAGGCTCCTGATTGCTGTTCTGAGAGAACACACGAAGGCATTACCATATGAAAATCAGCCTCTAGCCTGGGTGAGCACAAACCCAGCAAAGTGTACATGTTGTGAAGCAAGTTCTGACAGGCCCCAGGGGTGACTGCTTGGCCTGAAGCCCCATGTTGGGAGTCCTTTTTCCACTTTCACTGATAATGCCCTCTCAAATCACCGCAGAAATGTGACGGTGGGAAGAACATGGGATGAGAAGCTAACACTTCTGCCACAATAATGCTAGCTTTCGTTTTGATTAAATTAATCTCTGTTGCCACACCTACTCACGGCTGCACATCTACGCTTGTAGAGGCAAATACCACCCTTCTACCTTCCTCTGCTGTTGCAATTAAATAGTTCACGAAAAGACGTATGTTCTACATATAAACAACGTTGCCATTCACAAAGCATTTAGCATTTTCAGTTAAGCACTGTGATGCTACAAAGAAGCAAACAAACATTGTGAACTACTGCAGAAAGCTGCCGTCATCTTCTGGTATTTTCTTCCTCCAGAGGTCCTTACAGTCAAGGGGACAAACCTTCTGTTACTTCCTCAGCTCCCTGAGTCAAATCCCCACTGAAAGACCATACTATATTTTCTCCCCGTATTCCATTTACTCGTTCCATCAAAAGAGATGGTCCTTGGGCTCTCTACCCCATATTTTAATTCAACCCCTACTCAGGTAAATCACCACTGGCACAGCCAAAGGATCATGTCTCCAGTAATGGGTTTGCAACAACCTCTTCTCAGTGTTGTCACCACACCGTCCCTCCTGTCAGCTCAGAGAAAGGCAAGCACAGTCCATCTTCCCAAGGGATACTTATGCTCTTAGTTTCAAAACAAGTCATGGATGTAGGGTGGCATACAGAAACATCCTTGGTCTTTTAAATTAAGTAGATACCACAGCTCCTGAGCCTCCCCTACCACATGCTGAGACACTGGGGAAATATCAGTCCAAAGCATCCCAAGAAAGATACCCACTGGTAGTTTCTTCCAAGAGGGGGTGGACTATCATCATATTAATGCACATTTATGAGTCTTCAATGCTGCAGAAGAGCAAATTCTGAAGCATTACCAGAGCCATGAGCCATTACTCTTAAAGCTTCCTCTGCCTCTTCCAACAGGCATGGCGCTCACTTTGTTTGGCATGTTTACATGAAGGCAACCAGTTCCCCAGGCAGAACAGAGAGCCCTAAAACCAGGTTGTCTTGTGACTGAAAACTGAAATGAGGTCACTTTGAGTTTTCTTTTCACGGATTCACTTCCCACTGAGATAATTTTATCAAGAACGTTCTTGGCCTTATATTTTTAGCATCTCCCAATGAATTACTAGGCTAGTTTGAGTTAGCTGCTGTTTTTTAAAGGAGGAAGCGTGCCCAACTGACCTGAAATCGTCGCATGTCTCGAGGGTTTCCTGCATTTTTTAGACAATTTTGGTTACATTTGAGAAAAAATTTCAAGAAGAACCTGTGGAGAAAGAGAAATGGGCATTATCATCTTATAAACAGTGCACAACACTACATTGTTACATCTGTACATTTGGTCTAACAAAGCCTTATTTACAACAGCAATTTCAACTCAGACAATTTATACCACTGACCGTCCACTGAGGGATCAGAGGCCACAGTCCAGCAAAATGTGTAAGGATGTCCTAGGGTATATGTGAACTTAACAGTTCTGCTGTAATAGAGCCATTAAAGACTTCAGATATGGTCCCCCCTTCACACTAAATAGCCAAACTCATACAGCAAGAAAGTAAGAGATCTATGTTGTGGTCCAGCAAAAGGGAAATGAAAAATACCAGCCAAGAAAATTTTTTCATGTATAAAAGGGATTTTGTTTTACAAGTTCAATTTAGCATGCACATTTTGATTTAATACAAAAATACAGAAACCATTCCGTAGAATCAAAATCGCCCTTCCACAATTACACTCAGTTTGTACACAATATTGAGATGCTTAAACAGTGGTTAGCAAAAGACCAAAAGCCCAAAAGAAGGACAGGAAAGTCTTAGTTAAAAGACTGACATCATGGAAAAGTGAAATATTTTCAATGCTGCCTATTTCCTGGCCATACACAGTTCACTGAAGTAGCTATGTGACCCTGACATATATCTCTAAGAAAATACATTGCATTTTACAAAGCCAAAGAAAAAAGCAAACATTTCACTGAAAATATTTCCTTTGGTGTTATGCGTCAGTGGACTGTAAACTCATAAAGACAAGTCAATGAATAATGGTAGGTCTCAGATTCCAGGCTTTCTCCTTGAGAGCCAAAGTTTATCAGCCTTTTGTCCAAAATAAACTACAGACTAAGGCCTACTAAAGCTCAGCTGTGCAAAATTTAATCCTACAGCAAGTTTAAAACCTAGAGCAACCAGACAGAGCAGCATTACATTTGCAATAACCATCAGTTGACTAAGCAGAAGTTAATCTGACCTGTCTCCACATAAAAAAAAGGAAGGCGAGGGATTGTTTGGTCCTGCTTTGCTTGAAATTGGAAAGTTAACTTCTGCAAGCACCCATCTTTTAACACCCAAACTGAATGCAAAGTCAGCAGAATTTGCACACACTGCCAACAAGAAAGGCAAAAGTGGAGGGTAAACAGCTACAGAAAATCCCTTTTTGATGAGCAGCATTCTTTGCCCTGCTCTAGTTGGGATGCTGCCCCTCAAACCAGCAAGCTTCAGGGCTTGTTCCTCCATGCCAGGCAAATCATGCGAGGCAAATCATGCCAGGCAAGGACCAAGTCAAACTCCAAGGGACTGTCTTCTCTAGAGAAAAGTAAGGTAATGTGGGGGTTATAAACTGCAATGCCCAGGATTAACAAGGATTGATGTCCTGGCCCACGAAATCCCTTCTCTCCCTGTGCTCAGAAATAAAAGCAAGCGATCAACAATCAATATAAAAATAAACAGGCATCACTCTTGAAGAGAAGTTTGGAAACACTGTGTTTGTTTATGCCAAAATTAAGAGAGATATAAGCCGTTACACTTTCTCATCAAGCAGGTTCTGATTTTCAATAACTGAAAGTTGGTGCTATTTGTTGTACGCGCGTGTGTCTTTTTAAGCCTCTAATGGCCAGCTGTGACAGTCTGACTCAGATTGCGTAGAAGGAGCTGTCAGCACAAATCTTGGCATCTCAGATCCAGACAACTGCTTGCCACCAGGCGAAGGTTTGTACTCGTGCCAGAATGGATTCTGAGAGACAAGCAAACAGGGCATTAATTCTGCCAAAGAAAAACGAAAAGCGGGGAGAGTTCAGGATCTTACACTTCAGATTATGGTTTTCCTGTCAACAGCTCATCATTTAGTTCATGAGCTATGAAGGGCATGGACATCAGATCCCCCTTGCCCTAAGCTGGCCCTGTCATACAAAATGCTGGCAGGATGCAGAGACCACCTCTCCAAGCAAGGCTGTTTGCTGAAACAAAAAGCCTGGCCATCTGTTGGGAACTAAAGACACCCTTGTCAGCCTGCGCTTACAACCTCAAACAAGGCCTTATGTGGCAAAGCCTCAGGACTACTCACTCTATGGGATGAAGCCTACGCTCACGAAGGTTTGTTGTGGGACTATTCAGAGTTCTGCCTAGTGCTGGGCTCAGCAGCTGCATCCTTGGTCTGCTGCAATCCTACAGCCGTACCATGGCCCCAAACAGAGCTGGGAAATGGTAGAATTAAACATATCAGCACTGAAAGATAGCATAGGCAGTGCAAAGGCTTCCCAGCCACCTCACCACACACATAAGATGCACAGCTGGAGGCTTGACGCCCCTCAGAAGAGATGGAAAGCTCTTGGTGAATCTCTGGACAAACACTGCGCATTGCAGCTGGGAGATTCACTACAAAATACAGGAACTGTGTTCTGGAGTTTCCAAACTCTGACACAAAGTTTCAAAATCTAACTCTAATTGCTCCATTTTCACCAAATCTTATGGAAGCTTCACCAAGGTAAGCTGTAGAAGAAATTAGATTAATCTATTTAAGTCTACTGAAAGACCTCAGGTAAGCAACAAAACTTTCATTTGAATTAAATCAACTCAATAAAAAATTAACTTAAAAAAAAATTTTTTTTCAGATGAATTTTCGAGATACCTTACTTACACAGCCAAGTTCATCCATTGTATTTTAAGTACAAATTTGCCTGCTCACAGTATCACAGAATGTCAGGGATTGGAAAGGACCTCAAAAGATCATCTAGCCCAATCCTCCTGCTAGAGCAAGAACACCTAGATTAGCTCACACAGGAACACATCCAGGAGGGTTTTGAATGTCTCCAGAGAAGGAAAACCCACAAGGTCTCCGGGCAGCCTGTTCCAGCGTTCTGTTACTCTCACTGTGAAGAATACATCCTACCAAGCACTGCATTTTTATTCCACTGAAAGATAAAAAGACATATAGGCTTTGCACTGTTGGAATGCGCAAGAGCTGGAGCCTCCAGCTCCATGACACATCCCATGCTGGCCCAAACAAGAGCTGAGCAGCTCGCAGGCTGGCCCAGTGCTCCCCAGCTGCCAGTGTCCCCACTATGACCAACAAATGGATCACAGAATGAGAGCAAAGCGTCACAGTTTGACTCAAGAGGTTCAGGTCTACCTCTCGGTTCCTGCTTGAAATTAATTGCCCCACTGCCTTCTTCACCTCCAGTCCAGTTCTGCCAGCCTCGCTCATTAGCAGCACTTCACTCTGCAAATACTTCAGATTTAGATTGACAGGACTGGTCCAGGAGAAGTGCCAGCAGAGCTGAGCCCTTTGTAAGCACAAACTTCCATCTCTGTTTGTTTGCATCTAACTTCTTCACTGTGGGTTTTTTTTTCAGCTCTAACATTCTCCCCATTTAACAGGGCTGTGTAGCATTAATAGTAACCACAGAGGATATATAGCATTAATGCTAACCACTGGGGCCTGAAATTCATTCTGAAAATGAAAAAAAATGTGAAAAACAGTGGAATGTCAGTGCAATCTTCAACTTTAACTCTCTCCAAACATATATGACTGCTAAACACCAAATCTTTTACCACACAAGACTCAGTCATTAATTACAGTTATTGCTACCACTCAAAGCTTCTTTTCGCATGAATCAAACAAAACACATTTTCCAGCTCCATTCCCAACTACTGACATCTCTGGCATAAGGAGAACTGGTGCATATGGAGCACAGAAACACAAGCCAAATCCACAGGAGTGAGCTCAGGTCCATAAATATGCAAACTTTCATGAAGGACCTGGGTTGACTGACTTGCATTACTATTAAATGTGAAGCTTTGGGCTTCATCCCTTATCCCATCTGGATATGGGACTCCAGTTCAGGGAAAAACAAGTTAACTCTAGATTCTAAACTATGATAAAATGCAGCTCAGTGCAGCTGCAAAAATGAATCAAGAATCAAAATCTGTGTGCATGCAGCCTAGCCATGGCATCGTCCTACCACAAATCTCCAAGAAATTGCAAGGACCAATGTAGAACTTCCAGCTAAATACAAAAATCCAGTCTAAATCAGACAAAAATTAATCTGAATTTCCAGCTGAATTTCAGCCGGAAGCTCCAGCAGATGGTTAATTAGCTCTTCTGGAAGGGTTTTCTCCTCACAACTTGAATGAAAATTCCCCTTAAGAGACTTTTTTCCTCACAAAACTGCTCCTTTCCCAGGAAGGTTTTGGTCTGAGCAGGACTCTGCTCTCACCACTGCCCCACTCTGCCAGTGAGGGGCCCTTTCCCCAACCCTGTCTGAGCTCTCTGGCTGCTCTGCTGCCTTCCCGCTTTGCTTCCTCTCCTCACTCCTGACACCTTGCAGAGTTGGACCTGATGATCCTTATGGGTCCCTTCCAATTCAGGGTATATTATGATTCTATGGTTTTACCTGCTCCCCACTTCTGCTGGCTCCTTCCTGACACCCGTCCTCTGATTCCCCTCCTTCCACCACAAATTAATGCCCATGTTTATTCAAAGTAAACAAAGAGTTAAAGAAAGCAAGTCCTGACACGATCTGGGCTGGTTCTTCTGTCACTCCCCTGAAGGAAATTTAAAGGAACTCAAATACGAAAGCTCAGCAGTAGGATTTTCTTGCCATTGCCACAATAAATATGTTTGTGGAAGGAGAAAAAAATAGTTGGAAAGGGAAGACCTGCTGCATTCCTGATGCTGAAGAAAAGCTTGTTTGTTCCCAATACATTGGAGAAGTTGTTCAGGAACAGTTCATCCATGTGAAAATATGACAGCTGTCGGGCTGCCAAGGTCAGCCAGAGCAGTGGCTATCCAGAAGTGCCAGGGATACAACTTAAAGCTCTTTAGGGCAAGCAAATCGGACAAAACTCAACTGCATTTGATAGAAGAGAGCAAATTTAGACTCTTGGGTGAAACACAGCAGTAAGTACATGTGAGTTTGCAAAATTAGTAAATGCAAACTACGTGCAATAATTAGCAACTGCCCACCAGATAAAAGGATCGCACGCTCATTCTGAACGATGT